GCAAAATAACAGAAGTTTGATATTAAGTGTACCAAATATTTAATGAATTGTAGAATAGTTCCGAAACTAAGTACATAAATAGCACTATCAAAGAATGAGCAAATAAGTTATTACGTTCTAAGAAAAAAGGATATTGTTAACAAAATTGTAAATTTTATTGTTAATAAAATCAAACTATGTATAGAACACGATGTTGTAACATATTTTCCTTTGATACATATATACAGTTCACCAGTAATAACTTGATTCAACAACAAGTGTGGCTTTCACAAAAGCATGATGTATTCGATAAAATACACTTGTACCCAGACGAACACGTACTAGGTACTCGGGCATAATCTTTCCTCGCATATCAATCACTCGGCAACGCGGAATATGATAAGTGAAAATTGAAAATAGACCAAAGAAAACTGGACTAGACTTATCTACAGCTGGTCTTTCTTGTATTTCGTTGAATATTTCAAAAATGAAATCAATCAAACAATTTGAGAAAATTAAATAAAAAACAATGTGGAAACGTTGTCTACGTAAAGTTAAAGATCGAAAATATGTTTCCAATTGAAAATAGCCTATTTCGGGTACTGCAGCTTGGAATATCGATGGGAAATCTCACCCTATTCTTTTCTGAATCGAGTTGGAGTTTGACTTAGCCTACGGACCAGCCATAGGGCAGTACTGCCTATTATGCTAATTGAAAAAAAAATTTCAAGGAATGAAAATAATTGTGTGTAAAATAATAATTGTATTCCATATACAATATGTAATGATTTCAATCTACTCTTATTCCAGCCCCCCGTCTAATTTGTACATTACGTTGTAATCATTAAATTATTGCTCAAAAACCTGTCTGTGTAACAAGTTAGCGCCATTAATAGGAATCTGGCGTGTTCTATTATTGCTAAATTAATCACAAACCATTTTTCCATCAGGTATTGGATATAAACATTGATTAATCCATTTTAATACTGTATTATATAAATATATTAGCGGTAAAAGGTATTGAAATAATTTTCCAACAGTCCATTCAATAGTAAATTCTATTAGAGTAAATTAGTACTTTATTTATATACGGTAGTTTTAGTGAATCAACTTAGACAATAGTCGTTTAACACCAATAAAATTTATAGGATCCGTTTTGAAATGCAACAGAATCTTTTATTGCAAATGCATATGTAGAAGATTGTACTGTCAATGATTACAATTCCGCACCCACAACGTAGAAGGTGTCGGCTGAGAATAGCGACGGCCAGAAGAAGAAAAAGTTGGGGCAGTGGCGTTCAATCCAAGAAAATTACCATATTGCCAAATGATTACGAAGAAATAGTGCAAATTATCAAAATCAGAATTGAAAAACTTCTGTATGTTGTTCCCAACCCATAACGAAATAAAATCAAAGAAGTTTTGCGTTACAAGGATTGTACTTTATGGATTCAAAAGAGTTCTATTTTATAGTAAAATAATTAGGTATCATAGTCATTTTGCATAAGAAAAATATCGAAATTTATAGGTAGTCGATATAATCAGCACGAATTAAGATTTAGTACTATTTAAAATTTGAGTTCTCTTGTTATTTCAAACTTTGAGGAATTATTATGATTAAACCACTCACCGTAAAACTATAATATTTCAAGAGGTCCTCCAAGACCATGAATTCTATCATCGTAAGAAGTTTCATCAAAATTTTAGAAAAAATCAACAACAATTGATTGAACCGTTTTTGAGCTTTCAAAATAGATTTTTCGCTAAGACAAGGACGAAAACGTTTGCATTTATTTGCTAATTGGATAGAAGTAGCTTGGCAGATCGTCGCAAAGACTAATCTTAAAAAGTTTCATATAAAACCTTTCGAATTATTTAAAATGTTTCAGCAGTTTTTGGGAAGAGGAAGGCGGTAGGTCAAATTTTGGCTCATATACATAAACCGACACATACTTTTTTGACTATCGTTTGGCACCAATTCTGATGTCAAATATTCAAAATGACATGAAACTTTGAGAACACAATATCATCTTCTCCTTCGGATAGTTAAAAATGGAATGAAAAAAATATTTGAATGACAAAATATATGTAGGCCATTAATTTTATGATTTAATATTTATAGGAATAAATAGAGCCATTAATTTTATGAAATGCTGAAGTTAAATTTGCACATAATTAGGTAAACCCAAATCGCTCCCTATCTGATAAATGAATTAATTTACTATTTTCAATTGTTGAAAACATGTATGAACTAAATTCAATACATTTATCAAATATTCTGTAAGTTTGAGACGTCGTCCATCAACTATCAAAATCTGATATAATTTAAAAAATTCATAAATAAATTTGTCACGACGTTTCTGCTAGTGAACACAACATAGGATATTATTAAAATATTTGATTTAAACTCTAATAAAATTATCCGTAATTGTCCAACAAGAACATTATTATATTTTAGTATCAAGAGGATCATAAATGAATATTAAGCAAAGTTTTCAAATCCCTTTCGAGCAGTTGTAAAAAATTTAACAAAACTACAACCTATACTAAATTATTCCAACACTTTATGGCTAGTTAAAATTTAAAGCTACATCTACACCTTATAAAGAGACTTCAACAAAAGAACATCAAGGGTTCCTACAATAATAAACAAGCGCTGCAGTTACACAAATAATGGTCATTCAAGCGATTTACGACGACGTACGCACAAGTACCGAGAGAAAGAACTTAAATATTACTTTACACGCGACAGATATTGAGATAATTTATCACCTGTGTGAATTTTAAATGTATGAAATAAATAAAAGTTTTTGAAAACGGATTTTAAGTTATATATATGAATTAGGACTTCAGATCAACTGTAAATCATCATTGAAGGTTATATTGTACATCCCAATTTGAACAGAAGGACTAAAGTAAAAAAAATATTTACGAATACGAACTGTATCAATTCAAATAATGAAAATTGTATCGAATGCAAAATAAACCAAAAAATAGTGTTTGATAATCTAAGATGATTTATCGCATTTGAAATTCTCTATTGGATTATCATGTCTACGTTACTACGTAATACCGCACTGGAAGTGCATATGATTTTACATCAACAACTTGAATTTCAACTGATTAAATTCCTGATAACTATAAATAATCAACTTAATCAATTAGAATTGACATTATGCATCTTTTCTAGTTGCGATTATACCATGCAGGATTTTTTATTTCGAACTACTTGAACAATATTAGGAGTAAATTTGAAGTGAAAATAAAGCTTTTTGCAGGAATATAATATTATAGGACGATCGTTTAGACCAGTGATTTCTAGAGTGGAGACCTAGGGGTCCATGACTACTTTAAAGAGGTTTACGCTAAAAAAAAATGTGTGGTCTGCTATCGTACAAAAAATGTAAATGGGGTTCTGCTTTAGTAAATAACACCATGTTAATATCCATTTATATATATTTTACTATTTTATTCATATAGGTCCTATATAATGTTTCTATATGGACCGGAAAAGTAAAAAAATATTTCACTTTTTGATGAAAATGTATAAAAGCACATATTCACATAGCAGCAATATTTTTGGACTTATAAAGATCTTATACGCTTATTGTTCGCTAAACTTATTACATCATAATGAATAAACTAGTTAAAAGCAACATTAAATTTGAACCATTAAAGCACAAGACGAAAGGTCAAATTTTGGCTCACATACACACACACTTTTTCGTGCAATATGTGCAATTTGGATGTAAAAGGATAAAGATTCACTTAAAATATAGAGAAAACTTAAAATTGGAAACTTATGTTTCGGGAAATTAGAAAAACCATTATTCACCATGATCCCAAATCAAAATTCCCATCATCAACAAAGCGTGCATACATTCTGAATTACTTGTATAAATATAGGTATATGCTAATAGCTACTCTGATCTATTGAAACACTCATTTCGCAACGAAACATTCCTCCGACTTAAATGAACACTCATTATATTCCTAATCGACCATCATTCACCCAGGAATTATTAGCGCGGCGCACATACTACTCTGTATTCGGTTGAGTAGTTTAAATAATGATTCTTCTACACTGACAAATATATGAAGTGATTTATGGATGTGAGATTTTGTGGGAATTAGAATTGTAAAATATTGCGATTTAAATAATCCGACATCTGTTTGCCACCTACGGTTTTGTAATATATATTTAGCAACTTAATTACCACTTATGTAAAATAATACGAATAGATAAATGTAGTATCGCAATCATTCAACATATATAAGGGTATGTATATTATTCCAATTATTCAAGGAATAAGGAAAAATAAACGAATGTTCAGAGTGATGTAATTCCTATAAAAATTATCACGAAATCGAGGTCAATCACTAAAGTAAATACAATATTCTTGAGAACCGAATGATAGCTCATTTCTTCGACTTTTATAATCCTCTAGTCGTCGACGCTTCGAATTGCAATACTTCCGCAAAAATGATAAAGTTATGGTTACAGTATTTTCTCATTCATATTTATGCAATAACAAAATGATATAATCACGTACAATAAATATCTCGAAAACTTTAAATATAAATTACTCGACCAGGAAACAATGAGAACTTTAGTATAATGCAAAATTGCTACAGCGACGTCGTATAATAAATCTAAAGCAGGAAGATTTCAAGCGCGGAAGAGGAGTCGCAAAGCCAATTATACAGAGTTAACCGGGTCAAATAATATTTGCTCGTTAAATTTTGTAGGTGACTATAGCATATAATGTCTATCTTGGACAGATAAGTCAAAAGAAATGATATATAATTAATATAAATAATCAACAAAATTAAGAAGGCATTCAAATTAACATAAAACCGCCAATAGCAAAGCCAATTGCTTAAAGAAAACGCCCAAAAGGTAGTATACTGAATAGGACAGTAGTGAATATACTATAATGCAGGTGACTATATTTTATATATATATATATATATATATATATATATATATATATATATTAAATAATATATTAGGTACTCACACTGACGATCTGCTAAAGAAGTCAATTTCATTTTTTTATTTTTCTTGCAGCACATGTTTTATCGGTCTACTTGCAACAGGTAACACTTAAACCTAAAACAAAATTGAATAATATTAAATAATAACAATAAAGTAAGTGTGAAGTAAAAATAAAGCGAAGCCAACAAGAAAACTCTAGCCCATATTGGCGCAACATTATTATAATTGTTTTTAATTTTTTGAACAGCCATCAGAATAATAATAAGTACTTAACTATACCGCTTTTAAAAGGCAACTCAACAGTTGATATATCAATATTTAAAGCTTTTTTTTGTAAAAAGTAGGTAATAATTTTTTATTTTGATGCTTTAATGCCAGTGAAGAACTATTTTAAATTTTGAACATATTTTACGTCTATTTTAGACGTACATCTTGACTAAGATATTATTCTCAAAAAGACAACCCTCTTGTTATGTATGTCTAATAGTTTTGGCCCACATATTTTATACTGTCTATGTCTATAAGAACCGAGTTTGCAAAAGTTATGATATATATTCTAAGCTGCGTTTACATACAAATTTTTTGTATATATGAACATATAAATAATCGCAAAAAATGATATTCCGAATATCGTGGCCCAGTTTTTAGGGCTATAAATTTCATATTCGAGATTCCAATATTCATCTTTGATGTCAAGCATCAGCAGCAGTGATATCAGTTTTCACTTGATAACAAAATGTTTCCGAGTGAAAATAGAACTGTCTGATATTGCTGCATCAATAAAGCATTTTTCAGCATTGCAAAAATTGTATTAATAAATTCATTCATTGCTTAGAAAAATATAGGGCGGTTATAATTCTTTCGGATTAATCTCATAACCAGTCTGTCCTTCGGGCAGTTCGCTATCAATTACCACAGAATTGTTAATTATTACAGATTTCTTTCGTCACAGTTTAATTGGTTAATGGTTATTCTATCTTCCCATTAACTACAAACAAGCACTTCATCTCGCAAAAAGCTCAATTTTAATTAGTAATTATTATTTGTGGCGGTGAAATCAGAATTCTCAGCGGCGCAATTTCAAAGCTGTCGTTGACAAAGCTCGGGCCGCGTTAATGTCTCTTTTATTATGTGGCATCTTTAGTATTTTTATGAGACTTCGTTCGCCTCAAAATGAGTAATATAACAATTTTTAATTACATTCGAGAACGCGGAAAAGAAAAGCCAGAAAGAATCTCAAGGAAAGGATACTGAAACATCATGACGAAGAGATTTAATAGAATTGAAATAATAAGGTGTGATGAATGGCTAACTTGTACTTTATATACTGAACCTTCAAGCATACAAATAAAAGTATATATTTAAATTTTAATTAAACTATTTCATGCCTTGAATAAAGTTTTTGTTAAAAAATTTGTCATATCTACAATAATTTATAAATGTATTGAATCCTGCACAAGTTATAAAAATGCATCAGTGAAGTCTAATGTAAAGGAAGTTGTAAATCCGGTAAACCAAAGTTGTAAACCAAAAATAGATATATTTATTCATATTAAAGCTGTATGCATCAGTAACATTTATAAAGTTAATATCGACCTTAAAAAATTAAAATCTAAAAATCTTAATTCGATTTATATATGTTATTATTGTAGAGACATTAAGGCAGTTTTAGTTAAGTATAAATGACCATATACCGATTCTCGATGTCGATTTGTTTTAAAAACTGCTTACAACGAATAAGTGGATATTCAAATTGGCGAAATGACATATAATATTTAGCCTGAGGGCACTTGTGCGGAATAAATTGAGTTTAATCAAAGTCTACATCATGCGAGACCCAATATTGGAGATGATAAAGGGCCACGGCGCTTTCTTTCTTAAGGCGAAAGTTAGCACGACAATTACAATCACGCCGAAACAGAACAACAGCATGTATGATTTACACAATTATTACAACTGTTCGAAACGAATTGAATGTTGGTTTTAAATAATAATAACATAAATTAAAAGACTTAATTTCGCAAAAAAGCTGGATGTAAAATGTTTTTTGGGCGATAATTGTTTGAAGTAACCGCGGAGCCCGGGTGGAAGCGATACGAGTAAGGAAATCTTATAATAATTTGTTGCATTTGAATTTAGCTGTTAATTAATTTTTAAATATATACAAGATGTCAACGTCAAGTCAAAATAGAGTGATAGTATTGACTGTCCTGAGAAGACAAAAACAAAATGATCTTGCGTTGTTTGTAATTTATGAACTTTTAAGTGCAACCTAGAGCTTTGATGAAATTGTGATCATTTTTTGGATATTGTGGTTAATTTTTATCACTTTTGTTCATTTAAACTTTGAAGACGTAACCGTGAATAACATTTCTAGAACTACAGTCAAAATTATACCATTGCCCCGAGCTTTCAAGAATTGAGACTTTTTGTTGAACTCCTGAAAATACCTCCTTAAAAAATATGCTTAAGTGTGTTAGCAAGTTATATCAAATGCAGGCACATTTAATCAGCATTGTAAACTATCAAAATGGTAAAATATAAAATTCCGACTATTTTAAACTATTTTCTTAATTCATCTTTATAAGCAGCTGTTGATTTTATTACTAGATGTGTAGTCATTTTTGTATAAAACTAATACAGGGATCACAGGACCCTGTAATACAGAGTTAGTTACTAGTAATTTTATAATTAGGAATATTAATTTGATAAACCAGAACGACATATAGTTATATAACCATTGTCAGAAAAATTGCTATTTATTATTTGCTTTGGTATTGTCAACATCAAATTTATCAACAATTTTAATCACTTGTTCAATTTATTTAATTACTAGTGCTTCTGAAGAAAACAAGACTTGTAATCAAAATCGTTTATGATTACTGAAGTAAAATTAAAACTTGAGCTTATATGGGTAAAAAGTCTCGATCGTAGATAAATGGATAGTACCACAAAACTACTGGATTTGATACCCTCTTCTTCAAACTCTCTTCAAACAAGTTCTGATGTCAAGCAGTTGTGACATCGGTTTTTACTTGGAAATATAGATAGCAATATGTTTCCAAGTGAAATCAGCCCTTCATCAATAAAAATGAATTCGCCAGTATGTCAAAATTTGTAATAATAAAATTGGTCACTTAGAAATGGGACAACTGTTCGGATTGCCATCAATAAAAACCAACAAAGTTTGTAAGTAGTTCGTCAGAATAGCTCATACAACTCTTTGTTCTGATCGCCGTTCAAATAAATAATAAAAACAAACATGAGTAAAAATGTAGCAACTGGGTTTTACTACATAATCCTTTATCCATTGTGCCTTCTCCATATATATCTTATTCTAATTACACACGTTTCTCATTCGCGTTCTGTGGGATCACAGTAATATGAATAATAAGGTAATTAACGTTTATTTATTCCTCAATATGCGAAATAGCAAAATTGCGAAATTCACTTAACAATGTTTCAGCAACGTTCGCCCCAGGATACCGTGTCTTGTGGTCCGGAGCAATTAAAGGAAATGTTAATTGTGATATGCATTAGAATTCTCAGCCAAGCCTTCTTGAGTAACGAATTATGAATTATTAAAGACAATTGTTCAGCTGTTTTTCAAAGCAATTGAAATAATGTAACAACACATAGGAACATTCACTACTTAAAAACAATTTCACGTTTGTTTGATAGAATATCAAGGAATATAAAAAATTCTTTTTACTATTCTCTAAATGTTAATGGATGGCTATATTGAATTTATTATTAAAATGTCTGTGATACTGATGTTTTTATTTTATTGATGCAGCAAACTAGGGGAGGGCTATTATCACTTGGCAACTTATTGCTATCTATATTTTCAAGTAAAAACTGTTTTCACGTTTTTACTACTTGACATGAGGTTATCCGATGCTGGTGTCGAGTCTAGAGCCTGAAGTCTACAGCTTAATCCACTGGTTCGTGGAAGAGCCCAAAATACTTTCATAACTATAAATATAAATTCTACTCAAGATTTTAAATCCAGTGTTGGATTAATATTACGTTTTATATAGCCCATTAGATATTTATATAAAAGCAGTTTCCTTATCAGTATAGAAAATTATTTTACCAACACATTGTAAAATAGTTTAGAAAAAACAGTCCTTATCTCATCATTGCTGTTGAATTAAACAAAGACGTCAAATAGCGGTACACACCTTGTATCAACAATTATGAAATTAATTAGTTATTGTTTTTAATTGAAATAAGTATTTATATTTTACCATATATACAAAACAAAGAAGTTTTGAAACTAGAACAAACTAAACTGATTTTGAAACCAGGGTTTGACTATTAGAAAAAATATAAGATATATTAATTCGTTTAATCATTTTAAAAGTTATTTAGAAATTTTCCAAAGTAGTTGTAGTGTTCAGTATACAAAGTGGTTATATGATCTCATTAATCGAGGAATTACTGCAGATCAATCAAATTCATGTAAATTTTCCAAACATGTTAGTTATGTTCAACAGATAGTTTAATATGAATATAAATAAATAAATTCTGATAAATAGTCGTAAACTTATAATAATGTTTAATGTAGGGTATATCGCTTGGACCAGGAACTCTATAACCCTAGAAAGTTTCACCAGAAAATCATCTTCGTCTGTCAAGATCGGCTTTTCTGACGAAAACATAAACTTTTCTTTCGGATAATTAAAATTCGGTAGTTCTTAATTTAACGAGACAGATACTATTGAAAACTTGAAAAAAATCTTAAATACTTAGTGACCAAAGATCACTAATGATGATTATGGTAGTCTATGGAGAATTAGTCACCTAATGTAAATTATAATGATTTATATTAATATTCACGTGCACAATCCTGTCTAATTGCAGTGGACTATAAAAACATGCAATGTATCAACACCTTTCAGTACGTCGTTAAGAAAAAATGAAATTCACTAGCAAGGTTTTAATTTTGCTATTTTTGTGTTTGGGGCATATTGAGTGTAAGTAGAATAAGTTATAATAAATATAGTAGATAGAAATACAAAATCGACTATATAAATTGTGCTATAAATTAATCTGTATAATTGTTTCTATTTTGGACACATTTCAATTGAAAGTAATTAGATACTCCAAATATTACAATTCTCCTTATAAACATAACTAAATATTTATCACATTTATATCTAAAGTATCTATATGTAAAATTCAATTTTTATATGCAGGCAGAAAGCATTCCCAACACCACCATGACGGTAAGCTACTTTATTGCTATAAAATTAATTTTAAAATTTAACTAAGACATTAATCGAAAGCACAAATAAAGAGAATTACATAAATCAGAAATCAATTTTTGTCTAAATAAAATGCTGATGCCTTTGCTTTATGATAAAATTCAACTAATTTCATTATTTGATTCAAATAATGTGGTATTATTGTTTGTATTCAAATATTTCAGGTGAATCTCATGAATATGTTGAAAATGTATTGGTGAAATCACCTTCAGGTCACAGTAATGGTAAAATAACTGATATGAATTATCTAAATTGATATATTATTTTAATTTTATTATGTTTGACCAGGAGGCACTTCTCCTTCCGCTCTCCAATCTGGACATACAAATCCAGGTATTTAAATTTAATTATTAAAAAAAATCCAATCTATAAATATATAAAATATATATATATATATATATATATATATATATATATATATACATATATTGAATGTGCATTGACATTCTTTATATTCTTAGGTCCGCCACCTTCAAATCCTACATATGTATATCTACCCCAAGGTAATCACCTTGTACAAAGTATTATTGACATGTAAAATTTCGTTGTAATAAATATATTTCCAATTATTAGGAAACCAACAGCCAGTAAATCCAACGATAATTGTCCTACCGCAAGGTAAAGTTTAAATAAAACGTTTTGAATATTGTTTCAAAGATGCTAATTACTGTCTAAAAATCTTTAGGTCAAATTCCACTAAATCCTATGCAAGGTAATAAAATCAAAGAAATATTTATAAAATTGAGATATATATATATATATATATATATATATATAACTTATATAATTTTTTAATTCTTTTTTAGCAAATCAACAACCCGTTAGCACCGGTTATCCACAAGGTAATATGTTTAATATATAATCTCTATTCAATCATTTATTTAAATAAAATAAAACATATAATAATTTTGGCCATCTTCAATAAAATATAATATTATATTTATTTTTGCAGGTCCACAACCACTTAGCACTAATTATGGATATAGCCAGGGTCAAGGTAAATAATTCATTTTAACTTAGTATAATAATTTATGCATCCATCATTCTAATTAATCAAATTTATTGAATAAAACTTATGGCCAAAAAGCTGTCAATCCTATTGATCGTCGTTCACCTCAAGGTATTGATATTTTAATGTTTACTGTAATTATAAATTATGTAATTACTTTACAAGTTGCATAAACATTTTTTTCAGTCCATCCTTCTGTTCTTCCAACGAGTGGTTATACATATGGTAAGCAAAATATAAATATTAAATTAATAATATTATTAAATTGTAGGAAGATTTGATATATTTATGTTTTTTCTATTACTTTCAATACATATTGAATTTATTAAATATTCAAAATTATAACAAATAACGTTATTATATATTACATTTTTAGGTCACCAAAATACAAATCCAATGGTTACTTACAAAAGTCGAGGTAACAACATATAAACTTCTTTTTCTAATTAAGTATATTTTTAAGTAAGAGTAGACCGAGGTATTTTGTACATTATTTGAATTTCATACAAACTTCTTAAACTTTGCTTAAATTAACGTTAATGGAACAAATCCAAATGCTTAAAAAAAAAGTATCGATTGACAAACGGTTTATAATTTACTAATAAAATATTGCTCTTTTTATTCTTAGGACCATCTTACGGAATTTCTCCACTTGTGCACCAAATAGGTAAATATAGTCGTGCGGCAAATGAAATAATAATATACTTGATCAGTTATTAAATTTATTTTATTATTTTTCTAGCTATAAAAAATCTTAATGGATATCAAGGTAAGAATTATATTAAATTTGAACTAATATCCTCAAAGATACAAATATGATTTGCATTCTATTGGGTTTTTTAGGTGTTGAATCACAAGGATCGACGCAAGGTACCTACTATAATTTTTAAATTTATTACAAAAGTAATAATATTAATTTAATCAAAACTTCAACACAAATTGAATTAAGTATTATAACAATATTTAATTATTTTTAAAAGATACAATCAACCAGTTGAAACAAGTTAATATCTTGAAAATGAAATTATAGAATGACAAATAGTATAGATTGAAATATAAAATAGTGGGTAGAACTGTTGCAATGCTAATAAAATTATCTTGACTTCATGGACATGCATGATCATCAACAAAATTTGAATAAATGTTTCAAAGTTATAAAGAAAATTAATCCTGAGCGTTATAAGAAGGAATTGAACACTAAAGTTTGAACAAAATCAACTGTAGAATTGTGAATTATCTAGTTTTGAAAATTCAAAAAATATTGATGTAAACTTCATAATTCAAAATACTGTGGTATGATTAAAACGGAAGACTAATATGATACCACACACAATAATCCATTTTTTCAGATGGAGAAAAAAATTATTTGAACGATCATCACTACGTGGTGAGTATCATTACAAGTTATAAAATAAGCCTTGTAATTTTTGGATGACTATTGACATAAATTTTAGGCTTACAACTATCGTCGCCAATATTCTCCACGTGGTCATGATTGGTTTGCTTTTGATGACGACGAACTGCTTCTGCAATACGAAAATAACCACGAGGGAACAGACGAGGAAGCGAAACACGCCCAACCGCAGGAAGGTGGTAAGGAAATTAACACTTCATTTCAGTAATAAAGGATATATATATATATATATATATATATATATATATGTTTGTATGTGTGTTTCCACAGCAGGGGATGCAGGTGCAGAAGGTGAAACCGGGGAAGAAGCTGCCAGCGAAAGCGATGCCGAGGGTGGTGATCCAAGCGACGACGCACCATCTGACCAACCTGATGAGGATGCACCACCAGTTGAAGATCCCGAAAGACGTTGAGCAAAACGGACTTTAATTCATAGCATAGTTTGTAAAAGTTTGTTTTATCAATTATTGTTTGATAATAGTTAAAAGAAACAATAAATTAAATTAAAAAGTATTGAGCAAAGTGTTCTTTTTGAAACCACATACACATAGATATAGTAGGGGGAATACGGACAAGATGGCATGGTGCTTTGGTTTTTAATGATATTTTAATCAATCAAAAATATTTTTACTCATCTCAATGAGAAAGTTCATTGATAACCAGTAACATAGATATTTAATAATATAAGATCTATAATAACATATTTATTATGAAAAAATGAAACTAATTATAAATTTTTCCGTACAGTACGAACAAAATGGCATAAGGTAGAAACATATTGAGATATAAAGTTTTAAGAAGACCGTTACGTTTAGTCATCGTTGGGAGATCAGCACAAACGGCATGAGCCCAAAGAGAATAAATTACCTTTGCCGGTCTCACAATGAAAAAAGGTTTTTAATAAATACAAGTCTGTTAATTTTTAGAAATAGAGTAAAAGTTAAAAGCGAATCACCTTTGAAAAGTGTCAATTTTCTTTTTTCTTGACCTCTAATAAATTTCCCGGTAGTTCTTGCAAAATTACACTATGTCATTTCGTCCATTGTATGCATATGAGTATCTTATTTTGTCAGAAAGCAAACAAAATTGAATCGATATATTTACATAAGTACGAAGCAAAATCGAAGATCCAACATATAATCGTGAATTATACTGGGGTATGGTCTAGCAAATCCAGTAAATGCTAGAATTTTCTTTAGCATCTTTATAGATTTGGTTTGATACCAAAAAACAAGTTTTCTTGCAATAGCAATGTCTTCATCGTTAAGTGTTTAAACGTAACCTACCATTTTGTCGAATTTTGTATTAATGCCGGCGATCTCAGATCTCAACGTTTGGATTTTTTTAAAAAAGCAAATGTGAAGCCCTTTTTTTGAAAAAAGTGACGTTCATATCTACAAAATTGATAGTTTAACAAATATAATAAACATATAAACATATTTCAAAACACAGTTTCAAATGAAAACCGATATCTACTCAAATTTAGAATGTCTAAGACAGGTCTCAAACCTGAAACCTCTGATTCTAAATCCATCTTGCTCTATCTACTAGATCACGAAAAAGCACATGAAAAGTAATATTTTTGAAAACATTATTCAAATTTCTATGGTCTAAAACTAGACAAACAAAAGTGCAAGACTGCAAAAACTTAAAAATGTATTAACAAATCGTTTCCGAAATGAAATCTGGCTTATTAAGAGCAGCATAAATCCTAAATAAAACAATAAATTATCGCTGTCGTCAATACCGGTTATTTGAATCTCGAAATTGTTTACGTTTGATTGCATAATGTGATGTTATTGTTAAAATTTTATGACATTAAACTCATTAAACCGGAAAGCATTCGCATTTAATAGTTTCTTTATGGCACGTAAAACAATGAAATTGTAATAAGACAACAATAATCGTAAATGCTGCTGAAGTAGACGAAATATAATGATGGAACATGTAAGCTATCAATAAACTTCCAAACTCAATACTACTAGTGTTCAGATATATATATATATATATATATATATATATATATATATATATACGAGTATATATATATATATATATTCTGATTATGGTACATAGTGCATGAATATTCTTCTCTTTTGATATGAGTAATTATAAATCATCGATAAAATTGTACAAAATTACAGAGTAACATTATACACATAAATTACTGTAATTAAATTTGTCCGTGACCACGACAAAATTATAATGACTCAAATATAATTAGATAATTGAGCGTGAAATATGTACTGCGATCTATTTCTGCGTTTCAACAACCCCGGGCTCTTTTTTCTTAGATAATAATATCGTTGCAATTGCACTTAAAATAAAGGGTCAGGTAGGGTTATGCCTATGCACAGTCGTATAATCATTTGCACGACAACAAAAGACAAAGAACCTTGATATGAAGTAATTGACATAGAGATATGAAGTCAAAGTCATTTTCTACAAGACAATAAACTATAATATTTTAAAATGCACAAACAAATTAGACCATTCACGTTTTACATTATCGCACCCTAAGTTGTTGATGTGATTATATTGTTTATACCACGTCTGAGAAATTTGTGCAATCAGATCTAATTACTAGATATTCAAGGGCGTTTTATGACTAAATCGAAGACAAATAACAAAATGATGATAAAATACATCTAAGTCTGTTTTTACACGGTCTTTTTGTACACGGTTTTGATATAACACGGTTTGAAAATTGAATATTTTTAATTTTTTTACACGATTTTATTCCATTTAGCACGATTTGAAATTTTATGTACTTAAATTTTTTTGTCAAATTTAATTTTCTGCGATGTATGTTCATATCACAAAAAAGTATTTATGAAAGAAAAAAGTCTGAAACCATCGATAGTACCGATAATTTGCGAACACTAGCTTAAAGATTTAAGTGAATTCCCCTTTAGCGCGTACAAACAATTTTTACTGGTCAAAGCAAATGTGAATAGCACTAATTTAGAGGAATTATTATTAAAATAAACATGAATTCTTGTTCTTGAAAATTCTTGTTTTTTACTAATTTTAATAGGTTTTAAAGAGTAGGACAAATTACCCATTTTTGTATAAGATCAATGTCTTTTTTTACACGGTTTTTTTTTACACGGTTTCTTCTGGAACCAATCCCCGTGTAAAAACAGACTTAGGTGTATAGAATAATTATTAATTTTTTTCCTACATATTATCTGTACACACACACACATATATATATATATATATATATATATATATATATATGTATATAAATATAAATTTAAAATATACTATATGCACATTGATATCATAACGGGCAGAATGTGCATACAGAATGAGGTAGGAGGTTCTGGTGAGAGGAGCCTGCAGAATTTATATACATGATTTGTTGGTATGTATATCTGGTTCATAGATTATAATTTGCTATTATACAACCGTATAGTCAGTATTAAAATTGATAGGAAGCGTAGTGATACATAGACAGATGATATTAAGATTTGGCATAGATGCATGAAGTGGATAATCTACCTGATATAAAAAGCCCTTCAATATTATTTTTAAAAATGTAAATCCATCTATTAGATAATGAGATAGTTATCATAAAAATTAATTGACTGATCTCAAGCAAAATTTAATTTTCAGTTTAGAAATTTGATCAAAGAATTATTTATGGATAATATTTTATCATCATTATTCCGATAGACGTTGATCCTTTCTTAACATTCGAGAGATCTTTATAATAACGCTTTTCCTTTGTCGCAATGCGTCTGCTGAATCTGTTTTAGTAAGTGCGAACTATGCGGAATTTAATCAGTGGCCACGTCAATCCTGGAACTCGTGATGGAATGATAGTTATGTCTTCATATTCGTTTGACAGATGCTTGACAGCTGACAGCCGACTGGCAAAAGCACCGTCTCATGAACTGAGCGAAGGGTAATTGAAAATGACCCAAGAGGGTAAAAAGACCTATTACTATTATCATTATAATTCTAACAATAATTGAACAGCAATCAGAAAAACAAACAAACTATATGCTATTGTGCTGGTTATTAGAATTCCAGTAATAGTACTGGAGTTCTACATACATGATGTGATGGAGGTTAACACAGTGGGCTACTCCATATCAAAGCATTAACTTTAGATTGGAGAAGTCGTTCCTTCTCAATGTTCTAATTGCTGATGGTTCTAATATAACTCTACATACATGACGGGATGGAGGTCACCACAGTAGACTACTCCATATCAAAACATTAGCATTAGGTCTAAGGGGTTGTTCTTCCTCAATGTTCTAATTGCTGATGGTTCTAATATAATAACTAAGGCAGGGTTATTGACTATTGTGGTTGATAATCTTATCATGATAGATTCTACGACTGGTCTTCACTACATTCTGGACTGTGTCAATTATCAGATCGTTGTGTATTATTTGATTACTAATACACCAATGTGCATTTGCAATTGGTGAAATTGAAATTGCTGAAATTTTTGATCTACTGGCGCAGCCCCAACTCAACGCGATAAGCCACATCGGTTTTATTATCGCTTTATATAGTAGTATATTGATTTCTTATGATAATTTAGATTTACCCCTTTATGATTTAGATCTAATCGTATTGGATTCATCTTCTGCTTTTTATCACTACTTCCTGGACAGTGTCAATTATAAGATAATTGTGCATTATTAGGTTACTAATATACCAAGATGCATTTTGCAATACACCTCAAAATTTTTGTCTCTTTCCTTTGGATAGATGAAATTCGTGATCTCCTGGATTTATCTCCAATTAACTAGAACAGTAATTTCATTTTCTTTTCCATATGTTTTGTTTTACTATCAATGTGAGTAATCAAATTTTATTTGCTATTCGAATGCATTACTAATTACTTAACAAAAACAGATTCTGGGATAATTTCATTATTAATGGACACCAAAGGATATTTATCCTTAACGTAAATGGTATATGGTGAGGTTTGTCTCCATTGATTTTTGGAACACTTATCATTATATTGCGATTGCAGTGACAATTACAATTTTGTTAGTTTTGTTAAAGGATGCAATCAAAAAAGTTATGAATATGACACCTCAATGTTCGAAACCAATAATATGTTTTAGAATTATATACAATAAACAAATACGTCTTAGGCTAATTTAATCTACAAGTTGTGACAGACTTGGTTTGCTATGATTATGTTGGAATTGACAAATTTCAGGTTTAACTACACTATTCTCCAAAGCTCTCAAAAATACCTAAGAGTTATATAAAAAAATTAGATTGAAGTTATGTGCTATATGTCCTTAAGCGGGTGTAACGATGCATTACCATTACCAACACCAAATTTTAATTAATAAGTAGCCCTAATAACTGTCCGAGAATTCAAATAAGTATAAAATCGCAAGTAGCATGATTCGATAATATCTCTTTGTTAATCCGACGCTCATTGTTGAATAAATATTCAATGAAAAGTAATTATCTTCCGTTACGGTATGTAGGTAGATTCGAAGGA